AGGCTCAATGTATGACATATGTTTCTATAGGATAATATTGAAAAATAAACTTCCTTTCTTAACTTTTTGAGTAGAGGTGTGTTTTGTAGGATTTTAAAATAACAGGCATTCCACATAGTTTGAGCGCCTACCATATATTGTAGGTCAGGTGCTGGGATACAGTCATGCACAAACAGTCCTCACAGAGCACACCTGCCAGAGTATTATGGTACATCTATTAGAAATTAAACTACAGGGCTGGAGAGATGGCTCAGTGCTTAAGAGCACTGGCTGTTCTTGCAGAAGACGGAGGTTCAATTCCCAGCACCCACATGGTGGCTAACAACCATCTGTAACTCCAGTTCCAGGGGATCCGATGCCCTCTTCTCTCCTCCTCGGGCACTGCATGCATGGCACAGGTGCACTTGCATACATGCAGGCATAATACTCATACACATAAAATTTTTTAAAAATTTTAAGTTTTTAAAAGAAGCAATAATTCATGCACATTTAATTCATTTGGGGGCATTTTATGTCACAGAAACAATTTTATATTCTGATGTCTATTAATCATAAAATATACATTTTATTTATTTGAGACAGGATCTCCCTGTACCCCAGCTGGCCTGGAGCTCACCATGTAGACCAGGCTGGCCTCAGTCTCACAGAGATCCACCTGCCTCTTCCTCCTGAGTGCTGGGATTAAAGGTGTGCGCCACCACCTCTCGCTCTTGTATATGCTTTTTTGTCTGTCGTTGCTACTGAACAATGAGCTTCGGGAGGGTAGGGACCATGTCTATGGGCTATTCTTAGCCCCCGGCTTCCTCAGTTCTAAGGTTTCAAGTTTTTAATGAATAAATATTAGCTTTCTGAACTGTTTTCAGAAATACTTAGAAGACTGATTCTAGGGAGGAGAAGGTGCAGCAATGGGAGAGGGAGGAGTAAGCAGTCAGAAAACTTCGGATTAGAACAGCTTTACAGAAGCTATATTTTTATATACAAAGTAATATGTGATATCGAATGTAATGTTTGGATTTTGTTTTGTTTTGACAGAATTATAGTGAACATCATTCACAATACTTCTGATTACCACCCAAAAGTTTTGCGGTTTTTGAATGTGGCCTTTGATGGTTCAGGCGATTGCTTAATTGCTGGGGACCATCAAGGAAATATCTATACTTTTGAGTTGCCTGGAAACAGGTGAGCAGATGCTTTTGATATTTACCTTATTATGGAAGAAGTTGTTACTCCACTGACTAGTACCTGTTATTTATTAGTGATTTTCAAAGCTCTTTCAAGTTCTCCTATCTTTCAGGTTCCTTGGGAAACACCGTTGTAAGTGTTGCTGGAAGAAAGTGGGCAAGGGGAGAATTAAAGTTCTGCTTTTGACAATATCTCTAGTAGCCAAGTTTTTCTTTTTTTCTTTTTGAGATAGGGTCTCATGGTATCCCAGGCTAGCCTCCACCTTGCAGGACTATCTCTTCCCTTTCCTCTTCCTCTTCATGGTACAACTCTGCTGTATTTCCTGCCTCTCTGATCCTTTTGTCCCTCATCTTGCCAGTGTCTCCCAGTGCCTACAACTTTACGTTGTGCTGCTCAGGCATCTGCCCTAGGATTATGTCCTTCTCTATTCTAGGCTCTCCTTATAATCAGCCTTGGGCTGCAGCTGTTAGGTAAACACTGTTGACTCAGATCGTCCTGCTAGAATTGTTGTGTGGAGCTTTCTGATAGCCACTAGTTACACATAGCTCTTGAGTTTTTGAAAGAAGACACATTCAAATTGAGGAATATGTGGGTGAAAAACTAAAATACATACAAAATTTTGAATTAAAAAAATGTAAAATTTGATTACATAATAAAATAATGTTTTGGATAGTAAGACTGAATTTTACCTGTGGGTGTTTTTTTTTTTTTTTCACTTTAGTGTGGCTTCTAAACAATCTTAAATTATACATGTGGCACATATTGTATTTCTTTTAGACAAGATGACTCTGTTATTACAGACACCTTAAACTCACCATGTTTAAGGTAGAATTTAATAGTTCCTGTTCTCAAGCTTTTTCCTCTTTTTCCTAAGCCCAAAACTTTTTTTTAATGAAATTCTATTCATATGCCAAGCACTCACCTAAGAATTCACCATGTTATTTAATCACAACAAACTTTTTAAAAAGTTTTTAATTTTAATTTTATTTGAGTATTTTGCCCTGCATTACCTAAGTGCACCTGTGTCATGCAATGCCCGAAGAGGTCAGAAGAAGCATCAGGTTCCCTTAGAACTGGAGTAAAGAATGGTTGTTAGCAGTTATCTCGGTGCTGAGAACTGAACCCAGGTCCTCTGCATGAGCAACCAGTGCTCTTAACCGCTGAGCCATCGCTCCAGCCCCCATGACAAACTCTTAGGAGTCCTGTTCTTATCTTCATTTTGCACTTGAGAAATTCCTGATTCTTTCTTCCCCATATTTAATGCATGCCCAGTCTCTCTCCACTTAACCCCTGAAGCCCGTGTCCTTTCCACTGTGCACTTACATTCTGGTCAAGGTTTTCTCTAGGAGCTTTCACCGTGATTGCTTTTTCTTCTTAGGCCTCCATCTTTCCATTGTCATTGCTTCCAGAATCATCTTCCTAAAAGACCTGTCTGATCATGATTCTGCTATGCTAAAAACAGCCATGGCTTCCCATTTGTGCAAGTAAAAATCCAGTCTCCTTGGGGTGGCTCATGGGGGGTAACTCTAACCTTCAGCATTCTGCACATAAGAATGCCTTCGTTATTCACAGTGGGTCCCCTAGTCTCATAATCTATTTTGGCCTGCCATTTTCTAGATTTCATTTTCTCCTCTAAGGATCCACTAATATAAAGGTTATGACCATTGGTAGAATTTCTGATACTAATGCAGTGATTTCTTAATAGGTTTAATCTTGTTCAGCGAACAGCACAAGCTTGCACAGCTCTGGCCTTTAGTCTTCGTAGGAAGTCTGAGTTCCTTGTGGCATTAGCTGATTATTCTGTTAAATGTTTTGATACAGGTAAGATGTCTTCCTTTTGTCTTTCAAAGCAGAGTAAAATACTTTTTGCAAACTGCGAAACGTTTACCAGTCTGTATGGTTTGAGGGAGTAGTCCATAATACTGACCTCCCTCAGACAGCCATAACCTGGAGGTCCAAGGACCATCCTTGTTTCAGATTAGTTATTTACTGAATCCTGGCTCCCAACTACCTTTAAATTTAGTAACTCACTAGAAAATTCACAGAGCTCAGGAAAGCACAGCACCTATGAGTGACTACAGTTATAATATAGCAAAAGGATATATATTAGAGCCAATCCAGGGGCAGAATCTGGGAGGCTTCTAGAAAGGAATCTTCCTGTGTCCCCAGGACTGAGTTACTCTCCCAGAATCCACATGCCATGACTGCACCAGGCATTGCTGAGTCAGGAGTTCACTCGGGTTTTGGTGTCGAGTTTTAATTGAGGCTCCATTACACAGACATGATTGAATTATTGATTGTGTGTAGATGTGAGGGTGACCTGGCTGCAACATCTCTCATCCCATTGATCACCAGGGTTGAACTGTTGCCTGTGTGGTTGAATTCAGTTTCCAGTCCTGCCTTCCTGAGAGTAGGCAGCTGGTAAACGCTTTGGTACCATCACTGGTCTGTCTAGTGAGACCAGCCCCCACTCTTGAGTCTTCTCAACATAAACTATTTATTTGTAGCTAAGGGACCCACTGTAAATAACGAAGGTGTGGGAAACCCCAAGGTTTTAAAGATTACTTCCCTTGAGTATGGACAAAAATCAGAACTCTCTTGGAAGGACAAATTCCTACTATACACCGATATCCTAAAAAAAATAAACCCACATATTTTATGCCATATTACACATATTTTTTAATTGACAATGTAGAATACTATAGACTAAACTCTTACAATTAAAAAGATCACAGGTAAAAATTAACTTTTTTTTTTTTGTCTTTTTGAGACAGGGTCTCCCTATAGCCCCAGCTGGCTTGGAACTGCTATGTAGACTGGGTTGGCCTTGAACTCACAGAGATCTGCCTGCCTCTGCCTCCTGAGTGCTGGGATTAAAGACCTATGCCACCACTCCTGGCTTCAAAGTCAAAAATTTTATTTATTCTTTTTTGAGACAGTTTTGCTATGTTGTTCTTGCTGTCCTGAAATTCACTGTGTAGCCCAGGCTTCAAACTCAGAATATGGCTTTAGCCTGTCATATGCTGAAATTGCAGACCTATACCACCATACATCGCTTAAAATCAATTTTTAATTTGTATTTTCTGTGTGTTTTTATTGAATTATTTTTTGAATGAGGCTCTCTCTAGGTCATCTGGGCTGGCTTCATAGTCACTGGCCTGAACCTCCCAGGTGTGCGTAGGTGACGGGTGTGTGTCACTGTGCCTGGAAAAATCAATTCTTTAAATCACATTTTTCCCACACTGCTAAATCTGTTCCTTTTTATGTGTTAGAGTATCAGCTATTTCTATAGCTCAAGTAGAACTACTGGAGGCCGTTAGCTCAGTGCATACATTTCATCAGAGTGCTTTGGTGCTTCTCCATTAATAGCCTTTTTTTTTTTTTTTTTTTTTTTTTTTTTTTTTTTTTTTTTTCTTTTTTGTCTTTTTGAGAAAGGGTTTCCCTGTAGCCCTAGCTGGCCAAGAACTCACTATGTAGACCAAGGTGGCCTTGAACTCACAGAGATCCACCTGCCTCTGCCTCCCAAAGGCTAGGATCACAGGTGTCAGCCACTATGCCTGGCCATTGATAGCTTTTTCATTTATTCTTTTTCTCTATTGCCATTTCTTGCCTGGGTTATTACAGCAATATGTAAATCAGGCCTGTATGTATATGTAAATCAATGATATGTGAATCAGGCCTGCCTAATCACTTCCCCTTTTCTAATATATCAACTGTATAGCCTCAAACTACTCTTTGTAAAACACAGACCCAGGTAGCTACTCAGCATAAAACTCTTACTCATAGCAAGGCATGGTGGTGTACACTTATAATCCCAGTGCTTGGGAGGCAGAGGCAGGCAGATCTCTGTGAGTTCAAGACCAGCCTGGCCTACATAGTGAGTTCCAGGCCAGCTCAGGCTACAGGGAGACCCTGTCTAAAAAAGACCAAAAAAAACCCTCTTACTCATGAATAGTACCCAAACTCTAGTGTCACACTTCAGGCTCTTCTTAAACCCTTTGTCAGTCTCATCTCCTGAAACTTCCACGATGTGTCTTATTAACACGTCCTGTGATAACCTTTGTTTGTTAGCCACAGGCTTCCATTTTTGTAGATATTAAAGAGATGCCTTTGTTGTACCTGTCAATCAGTTGCATCTGTTCTTGCACAGTGTTTATGTACAGTGCTTTATGTATAGGTGAGTGATTTTTTTTACTTATGTAACAATTTTACTTTCACCACAGTCACCAAGGAGCTAGTGAGCTGGATGCGAGGACATGAGTCATCAGTGAGTTCAATCTCTGTGCACGCATCTGGGAGATATGCTATCACTACTTCTTCTGACACAGCACAGCTCTGGGACTTGGATACCTTCCAGAGAAAAAGAAAGCTGAATATTCGCCAGTCTGTGGGGATACAGAAGGTCAGTGGCAGGGATGTGCTGGCTTGTGCCCCCTCCCACAGTTTCTTGGTCAGCAGGACTCAGAGATGATTGATTCGTAGGGATTCTTTTTGTCCTAAGTCTTAAGCTGCTCACAACACAGCAGCAGGCATAGCAATCAGTATGATTAAATGATTAAATCAGTATGATTAAATGTTGCTTATGATTATTGTTCCTAACGCTGAGATTTTCTCTTTTAAACTTTTTTTTTTTTTTTTGTTTTTTTGAAGCAGGGTCTCCCTGTAGCCCCAGCTGGCCTGGAACTCACTATGTAGACCACGCTGGCCTTGAACTCACAGAGATCTGACTGCCTCTGCCTCCCAAGTGCTGGGACTACAGGCGTGCACCACTACGCCCGGCTCTCTTTTAAATTTTTATAGCTGTGAAACCTCAACTGTCATAGGTGACAGGCTGTATGATTTTTAGTTTTTAACACCCTTGCAGTTTTGTTACCAACAACTTTAAATGGACAGCAGGTTTACAAGAATTTCAGAGTGAACACATGAGTACCTATCATCTAGAGTCTTGAATTAGCACATTACTACACTGCACTGTACTGTACATGTTAGTATATTGATTTATCCATCTTTCTGCCCCTTTAATTTGAGTGTTGTTTATGTATTTTAAAGTAAACTGCATTGTACTTACCCCTTGTGCTGGATAGCTTTAGTTCTCAACTTGACACACCTGGATAGAGGGAATCTCAACTGAGGAATTTCCTTCATCAGACTGCCCTGTGGCTATGTCTGTGGGGCATTTTCTTTTTTTCTTTCTTTCTTTTTCTTTCTTTCTTTCTTTCTTTCTTTCTTTCTTTCTTTCTTTCTTTCTTTCTTTCTTTCTTTTTTATATTTATTTTTTATTTTATGTGTATGAGTGTATTGCCTGCATGTATGTAACTGTGGGGGGAGGCTGCATTTTCTTGATTGTTGAGTGATGTGGGAGGGCCCAGCCCACTGTGAGTGTTGCCACCCCTCGGCTGGTGGTTCAGTAATGTATAAGAAAGCAGGCTGAGCACAGGCCAGGAGAGCAAGCCAGTAAGCAGTGTTCCTCCATGGTCTGTGCTCCAGGTTCTGCCTGAGTTCCTTTCCTGGCTTCCCTTGATGATGGACTGTGCTTGTAAGCCAAATAAATCCTTTCCTCCCCAAGTTGGTTTTGGTCAGTGTTTTTAACACAGCAATAGAGAAGCTAACTAGAACACCCTTAAATACTTAATCCTACATTTAATTGAATGTGATTGTTAGTTGTTCATTTGAATATATATGCCTAAGTGGGACTGGAGAGATGGCTCAGTGGTTAAGAGCACTGACTGCTTTTGCAGAGGACCCATATAGTAGCTAACAACTGTCTGTAACTCTAGTTCTAGGGAATCCACACCCTCTTCTGACCTCCATGGGCGCTGCATACATGTAGTACATTTACATACAGCCAAAACACTCACAATACATAAAATAATAAATAAAATTTATCAAGTATTTAAAAGGCCTAAATATCTATTCGTTAAGTTTGACAAATACATATACCCTATAACCTGTGGGGATCTGCCATTACCATCCATCCCAGATTGAATTATTTAGTAATAGTTTATTTAAGTCTTTTTTGAGATTTACCTATGTTTTGTTTTGGGGGAGAGGGGTTGTTTTTTGGGCTTCTGAGACAGTGTCTCCCTGTAGCCCCAGATGGCCTGGAACTCACTATGTAGACCAGACTGACCTTAATCTCACAGAGATCTACCTGCCTCTGCCTTCCAAGTACTAGCATTAAAGGCATGGGCCACTACACCTAGAAAGATTTACCTATGTTTTTATGTATATGTAGTTTGCTTTTTAATTGCTGATTAATATTCCGTGTATAAGTTATATCACCTCTAAAAAATTCATTTTCTTTTAAGATTTAATAGTTTTTTCTAACTGATTAGCTAAATACTATTTTCAGGAGTATCTTGTCTCACATGGGATTAATTGCTTTATTTTAGGTTGCATTATAAACACAGTGTTGTTTTTAATTTCTTAATTATTAACATGAACAGCTAGTAATGCATGTCAACCAAAAATTTATTTTATAGTCTCCCTGGAAATCCCAGAGTTGTTTAGTGTGTCTTTAATAATTAAAAAGATAGGAGTTGTAGCTAGCTTACTCATTAGGGACTTAGACCAAATGTCTTAGTAGGTCTTTTCTTCGATTGCTTTAGCACTTAAATTGAATTCTAAAGTCCCAAGAAGAGAGAACATTGGGAGTTGAACCCACAGTGGAAACAGTTATGAAACAATGACAAAAAACTTGTTCTTCTTAGCATGAAATTAAAATTGTGTACACTGGGTGGCTGCCTGTACTAACATTATTTGCCATTTCAACATTTAGGTTAAAAAAGTCTCCAAATATTAGTAGTATATGAATAAAATTAAATATAGATAACACATGTATATTGTGATATATGCATATAAATATATTGTTGTAAAATAATAGAGCACCATAGTCTATAAGTTACCAGAAAATTCTTTGAAAAAAAGAGATAGTTGGGTCAGCAAGATGGCTCAGCGGGTTAAAGGCACTTGCTGCCATGCCTGTTGAAGACCTGAGTTCAATCCCTGGGACCCACATGGTGGAAAGAGAACCAACTCCTGCAAGTTGCCCTCTTACTCCACATGTGCACAGTGGTATATGTATATATGGACACACACACACACACACAAAATACATATACCAAAAAATTATAAAGGAGATAGTAAATGTTTTTGCCTTTGCAGGCCGAGAACAAAATTATATAACCCTTTAAAATGTAGCTATTTAAAAATGTAAAATAGTCTGGGCATGGAAGCACACACTAATCCCAGCACTCCAGAGGCAGAGGCAGGTGGAACTCTGGTTTGGAGGCCAACCTGGTCTACATTGCAAGTTCCAGGCCAGTTGGGGCTACATAGTGAGTTGGGGCTCACCCCTCCCCACCACCCTCCAAAAAGTAAAATAGCCTGGTATGGAGGCAGAGGCAAGAGAATTGCCCCAAGTTTAAGGTCAACCTGGTCTGCATATCCAGTTCTAAGCAAGCCTGGCCTACATAGTGAGACTGTCTCAAAAACAAAAGAGGGGCTGGAGAGATGGCTCAGCAGTTAAGAGCACTGGCTGCTCCTGCAAAGGACCTGGATTTGATTCCCGCACCCACATGGTGGCTAACAACTATCCGTAACTCCAGTTCAAAGGGATCCAATGCCCTCTTCTGACCTCCACAGGCAATGCACCACACCAGCACACCAACCTACATGGAGGCAATATACTCATACATACAAATGAAAATAACAAAATATTTATTGGAAAACAAACAAAAGAAGTAAAACATCTAAGCCCCTGGGCTATGCAAAATTTGGAGGTAGATTAAATAGTTTCCACTCCTTGTTTACTGTTGAAAATGGGAGCCAAATGTAGCCTGCGCTTTAAAACTTTAATTCTTGGGGCTGGAGAGATTGCTCAGTGGTTAAGAACACTGGCTGTTCTTGCAGAAGACCCAGGTCTCCAAGGGCATTGCACAACACGGTGCACTTACCTACATGCAGGCAATACACACATATAAAAATAATAAAATATTTTTTAAAAATGGTGCTGGAGAGATGGCTCAGCAGTTAAGAGCACCTGACTGCTCTTGCAGAGGACCCGGGTTCGATTCCCAGCACCCATGTGGCAGCTACAAACTGTCCTTAACTCCAGTTCCAGGGGAATCCGAAACCCTCTTCTGACCTCCACGGCATTTAAATAAAATATTTGAAAAATTATTTTTAAAAAAACTTTAATTCTTATCAAATTATTACTTAAGCAATATTTTTTCATTCCAGATCCTAATTTTGTAATTTAAATGGAACCTTTACTTACTTATTTAGATAATACATAAGGACTCAAAGAAACTGTGGGTTTTGCTATGAAGTTAAGCATAAGGTTTTTGGGGTTTTTTGGGTCTTTTTGAGACAGGGTCTTCCTGCAGCCCCAGCCATCCTGGAACTCACTACATAGACCAGGCTGGGCTTGAACTCACAGAGATCTGCCTCTGCCTTCCAGTGCTGGGATCAAAGGTGTGTACCACCATGCCTAGCCCTACTTTCTTTTTCTATGACAATTTTTTTAAAAGATTGGGCCAGTTGGTCTTACTGTTTCATCACTGTGGAATTTGTTTTCCCTCCTCCATATTTTTTATAAACTGGAATTTAGGCTAAAGCCTTGAGTAGATTCCTGTTAAACTTTCCCCAACGTATGTATTTACCCCTGTGTAAGATAAATAGTAATAGCACCTACGTCAGACTTGACTTCAGTATTTAAGGTGATAACAGCACTTAGAGTGCTGTTTATACAGTCAGTGCTTAGTAAAGTTCCATTTGCTTTTTTTTTTTTTTGGTCTTTTTTTTGAGACAGGGTCTCCCAGTAGCCCCAGCTGTCCTGGAACTCACTATGTAGACCAGACTTGAACTCACAGAGATCCGCCTGCCTCTGCCTCCCGAGTGCTGGGATTAAAGGCATGTGCCACCATTTACTGAAAAGCAGGGC